GAGGGTTATTACATTTGAGTACTGAATTAAGGAAGTGATATTTTTTCCTTCTTTTTCGGCATCAAAAAATAATCCGCTTTAATCCGAGGATTAATTTTGCTCAGGGAGAAGGGGAGGAAGTATCGATTATGCTTGGTTTCATTTGTATCATTATTTTGTGTTTTCTTGCCTCGAACTATGCTTCCAATATTTCCATATTTGGTTTTGTGTGTAAATATATATTATTTAAATTTTCAAACTTTAAATCTTACTAAAGTACCAGGTACAACGTAGAAACAATGACAACTGATTTGGAATAAGATAAAAAGAATAATACATTGTTTACATAAAAACTTAAAAACAAATGGAAAAAACATTTATCTGAAGCTGAAAACAATAAAGCTGAGAAGCTAAAATCTTTGAACATAATTTCATTACGTTATTGTTCTTTTGATGGGCAGATTAATACAATTTACACTGTATACATTTTTATTTGGTTTCAGCTTTTTATTTTTATCTATTTATTACGGGTTCCGTCATTAGGCACTACACGGAAGAGGAAGGAGGCAACGTGGATGTCTTTTTAAGGAAAACTGGCCCGTGTCCACTTTACATTAATGAAAAATCACGAAAGCGCCCATGCATCCAACCCGTTCGCCGGGACTCGAATACCGGACAGAACTATCAGTGTTCAGCGGCTTTTACCGCTTGGCCGCTAGTAGGCTCAGCTTTTGATTGATGGTTTCTCTATTTGTTTTTGAATTTTACGTAAATAATGTAAACAGTTTACCATCATTTGTACTTTTTATAACTTTGGGCAGCAGAAATGTTTAAAGTTTGAAATTTTATATAATTACACTTTAACTTTTGCTGCATTTGAGCATAATTAAAATTTATTTGAATGATTAAATTAGTTTGTATAACTTGGTTATTGATTTAGTTTTTATCCTCAATACTTTATATATATATGTGTGTGTGTATATAAATAGGAAGGAACATTAAGAATACTGCGCCTAGTCTGCAATGATTAAATTAAACATAATAAAAAAGAATAAATCTAATTAAAAATGAAAGGGGATACTCCTATTCTAATTCCTATATTTCAAACTAAAATTAAGTGAGCCAATAAAGAAACTAAGAATTACAATTTACAGAGTCATGATTTTTAAGTAATGTTTAAAAGCAATACAAAAATTAAAATTACAATTTTTTAAATATTAAAAGAAAATTTAAAATATTTGAAATAGTAAAAGGGAAAGCAGTTGAAAAAATTACTTTACAAAGCAATGGCTAAGCCGATTAGCATATGCATAGCAAGGACAAAACACAATGTCTAAACGGCTAGAAAGAGTGTGAAATAAGCTAATTTCTCCTGAATAAGTCAGTCAGTATTGTTTCTTTGTCTTTTCGATTGTTCATTTTTACTTAATTTTCTTTATATGGCTTTAATAATTATTATTAGCGAATTTAGCATCATAGTTTTATGCATATCCACTACTATTAGCCATTGCTTATAAAGAATTTTTCCAACTGTTGCTTTTCCTTTTACTATTTCAAGCATTTTAAAAATTTTAAAAAAGTAATATTTTCAAAATATTTTTTTAAACTTTTATTTAATTTTTATATTGCTTTTAAATATTATTTATAAACTTACTACTTTGTAAATTGGAATTTAAGTATACTTCAAACTGTAATTTTTAATTTTCTTTATTGGATTTCCTAATTTTAATTTGAAATATAGAAATTATAATAGGAGTATTTCCCTTTCTTTCTTCTTATATATATAAATGTGTGTGTGTGTGTGTGTGTGTGTGTGTGTTTCCACATAAGTCCTGACCTATTTTTCTCCTCACAACCGTTAGTACGCTCAGTTACAAAAATGTTTCCATTGATGTAAATACTTATATTTTAAATTTTATAAATCTTTTTTGAAAAATTACGAAATGTCAATTTTTATACGTTCTCCCGTTCCTGTATTTACCTTTAGGAAAATTTTTATGAATATTATAAAATGTAAAGTATCTGACCCCCGTACAAAAAAAATCGCTGATATATTTCATTTTAAAGCTGGAGATCGTATTCAAAATATATACGTAAGTTAAACATTAACATGACCTTTGCTAGTAGTTTGCGAGGATTTGTCTTTATTAAAAAAAGACTAAAGGACTAAAAGAATCACTAAGTTAACGACTCCATTTTAAAATTGAGGGGAGCTTATTTTGAAATATTGAACACATTAAGAAAGGGGGAAATGACGCGAATATTTGAATGTTTTTTTTTTTTTTTTTTTTTTTTTTTAATTTTTAGAACCTGGTGCTAAGAGGTTAAGAAGGGGAACATATGCTAGGCAATATTGTGGTATATATATATATATATATATATATATACACTGGTGTGCAAAAATAAGACGGAGTCGAGAAATTAGCATATCACTGAACGAAGAGGCAGAGCGGAAGAAAGACCAATCAGGAGATTAAGTAAGGTGATGTACGGATGTACGTAGTACATGCGCAGATATGCAGGTAGACGTAATGGGGGAGTGTCTGAGTAGTATAAAGCATGTGTCGGTGTAGATAGTATTTCTAGCAAGAGATTGCACGCCGTATAGAGTTAAAATCACTCCGAGTTGCTGCCTCAGCGAGAAATGCGAATAATCAATCTGTTAGACGACATCTGGATGCTTTACCTAGGTCGAATCATTGGGAAGTTGGAGGAAGGCCGCAGGGGACAAGTGTGGCTGCAGAGTTCGAATTGCTCACAGCATCGTTTCACGACTTTGGACAATTTCAAACTACAGGAACACTATCCGGGGGTTTGTAGTGGTCATCCACGAGGAACCACCCCGCAATGACCGTTATATTGCCTTACAGCCAGAAGAAACAGGCGGCAGATAGCGGGGAGAAATCGCTAGACACACGACTCATCCCTCGAAACACATTGAAAGGGAACAGGTATGGAGGGCGGGTGGTTTCTCGTTTGGGGAGGCATCATGCTTGTAGTCGTACAGACTTCACATCTTCGACGCAGGTTCAGTCAGGACCCGTTATGTAACGAGTTCTTCTCCATATGTGCATCTTTTAGAGGCGCTATGGGTCCGCAGCCTTTTCATGGACGACATGCACCATGTCATCGCACATAGCTGGCGAACAGCTCTTAGAGAGTGAGGATATTGAACGTTGGATTGCCGGCACGATCTCCGGATCTCAATCCTATCGAGCATGTTGGGATTTTATGGCAGATGCTTGGCGCTCGTACCTTACCACAGTAACGATTCCGGAGCTTCGATGGCGCTGCAAGACGAATGGGCAGCAATGCCTCAACAAGCTCATTGACACCCTCATCTCAGCATGGGCAGACGCGTAACTGCCTAGCGTCAGGGGAGATCATATCCACTATTAAAGACCGGATGTTCTTGCTGGACACTCATCACAGGGATGTTTCGCTTCATCGCTTGCGCTCCATGCTACTTTTTCAATACAGCTTCTTTTTATCCCTCTGATTTCTCTTTTAGTAAGCGTTGCTTGCATTACTCATGTTCTTACGTATTGGGGATCTTACGGTATTAAATGTGTTGATTTGGAAAGCTTTTGTACAAAGTTATATTGAAAAAATCGTCTCGTCCTTAATTTTTTACACCAGTGTATATATATATATATATATGTGTGTGTGTGTGTGTGTATGTATGTACAAATATTTAAACTATATTCGCTAAAAGAACGTGTTTAGTAATATTTTTTCCCGTCATACAGCTGTTAAATTATAAAAATGTGTAAACATAAATGCGAATAAAGTGTAATATATGCGACAAATTGCAATATATTGAAAAGAAATTGTAGATAGGTGAATGTTAAAGTAAAAACCAGTATTACCAGCCGTAAAACAAAATAATGCACAGATACCCCCCCCTCCAATTTGAAATCCAAAGATAAAGGCAGTGTAAAAATGAAAATTAAGTCAATTCAAAAATAACAAAATGAATTGTGAAATTACGCGTACAGTCAATTCTCTATTATTTGTAGGTAAATTAACCGAAAGCCGCTCATGTTGGCATCCATCCAGGTTGCGAATTAACCGGACCATGTCTAAAAGCGGCTTAGTTTATATATTGCGTAACGATAGAAAAATTACTGTCATAAAGCCATCAGCGTAAAGAAACTATCTACGGAAAATATAGAAAGGGTGAGAAAAGTGTTTGGGACAGAAGTTGTAATTTAATATGATTTCATGATTATTTATATCTTAATTCTTCATTGTTAATGATGCTTATTCTGACATTATTTCTAATGATGTTACATACAGTGTGTTTTAGTTTACATTAACGAATGAACTTAATCTCAAGATTAAACTGCGTGAAAATACGCATAAATTGCTAATTGTATTTTATCTTAATTTTCATATACATTATTCTCATTCCTAGTGTTTTTTAACGGCCCTGAATTTGAGTTAACCGTTGTTGTCATGTCGGTTAACCGGGTTGATTTTGAGTTAACCGTTGTTGTCATGCCGGTTAATTAGAAGTTGACTGTACGTATTTATTTTTTCGCATTATAAATGTGTTTTTTTCCTCTAATAGATGGTCATAAAATTAAAAATGCCAACGTAAATAAGTAAATAAATGTGTAAATGCAGCTGAATTTGGCAGGTAATTTAAAAAGATTTGCATCCCGTAATTCCAGCTCTGAATTATTAAAAGACCTGAGTTATTTTCATAAACTAGCCATTTTATTCGGATATTGTTTTTATCTGCGGAACTTAATCATAACAATGTGAGCTGTCACTAATAAAAGGTAATATCATGGGAAAGATTTAACTGGATAGTTTTTTATTCTCGTTTGGAGTTAGCTATCGAAAATATTCCTCAGAACTCTCGGTGGGCGTTTGGTAAACTAATCGATTTTCTCTTTTTTTTTTTTTTTTTTGTTGTTGGTCGATGAACGTGCTCATGAATCAGCGTTGCCACTGCATGTATGTCTGTTGTTATATTTTGTTTTATTGATGAAATTCTTTTGTTCCTTTTTCAGCGGAGGAGCTCGTATGTTTGGCAACGTGGAAGGAAGGCTCGACGCGCTACCTGGTGGGCAAACTGGAGCACCGCGTGGCCAAAGCCGATGAAGATAAATTCAGGTGTTTCGTAAGTGTTACTTTTTTGTCTTCTTTTCTTTGGAAATCTCTTTCGCCATGTTATCCATCTTTATTTAGACTTCGCGTTGCTGTGCGCATACTTATTGCCTGCATGATTGAAATGTTAGCGATGAGGACACTCGCTATGTTTGGGCACATAAAATAAACTGGTTTTCTTAAAGAAAGATGCCAGATTTTTTGTCACCATTATCATAGGATTAAAAAAGAGACCAAAGATGTGAATAATTTATTTACAATTCTTACTTACAGGACATATCAGGTTTTTAGAGACTGACTGCTAAAATTGTATTCCCTGCTTTTATGGGAATGAGGAAGGTAGTCACCGAATAGCTTTCATATTATATTTAGCAATAAACTGTCTGAAAAAGGTTTAAAAATTTTCTAGACTTTTTTATAAGTATTAACTTGAGAAACCGCTTACAGAGACCTTTTTCGTGGAAGAAATAAACTGCGCTTTTACCAGGATTCGAACCACCGAGCATCCAATAATAGCGAGAGGGCTGTTCATTTTCAACCTGAAAGCATATACGAGAATGCCGGAGAGACCGAGTCAACCAAGCTTAAAGAAGAAGAGTTATCATCCCTCTCATTTTTGTAATCTGTTACTTTAAAATAAAAACTTCAAGGTTAATTTTTCTCCCTTGATTTGACTCGTAACTACGGAAATCGATGATTCCGATTTGACTCGTAACTATGGAAATCGATGATTCCGATTTGACTCGTAACTATGGAAATCGATGATTCCGATTTGACTCGTAACTATGGAAATCGATGATTCTGATTTGACTCGTAACCATGGAAACAGCAGCTGCGAAACAAAGTCTCGCTAAATTTTTTCCCCGTTTCATTTCTGTTTAGCATGTTTCGTTTCATGAAAAGCACGCGAATGAGAAGTAACTTAAATGCAGTCTCAGATGCCGAGAAAAAATAAATGTGCGGTGATGATAACACGAGTTACGATGTCAAATGGGGGAGGGGCTACGAATATCTTTAAAGTGAATATTTAAAAGTAACAAATTAGAATTAGGGTGCTCTTGTGAAAATTATTACACTTTTTTAAGCCAGAAAATGTGAGAAGTCTAATGTACCCTCGCCGAGATTCGAACCACGGAGTGCTAGGTAGATAAGCTACGAGTTACACCATAAGAACAAGCACGGAGGAGGGAGATAATTCCGTACATTTTCCTCCACTTAAAGGGCCAGTAGGTAGAGTAACGAAACTTCGTCAGTTAATGTCATTTACATGCAGATTGGGGAGGCTATTATAATTATTTTTAATTTGGGGGGTGGAGTGCGAATTACGATTTTTATCCAATTATTAAGATTGATGGCTATATCAGAGTAATTATTATTATGTAAAAACATTTACGGTGTTTGGATAGAGAATTATGAAAAATCAACTATCACCTTGGCAAGATTTTAATCAAGTATCTTCCAGTGCAACGTAGACGTGTTGATCATTTTCACAATGACAGAACGCACAGGGGATTGGGATAATGCATTTCAACGTTATTTGCAAATATTTCTACGCCATTTATTTGTATAATGAACAAAAGGAGCTGAAGTTTTTTGAGTTTTTATTTTTTGAATGCATGTTTTGTTGTGTTTGTTCCATGGTCATAAACTAAGCCATTATTCCGTGTCCCAACATGTCCGCTTGCCGCCGCCAAATCGATTTCACCTAGGGCGGAATGATTGCGTTTTCTCCGCGTAGCGAGATTTTATCCGCCTCCTCTCAGTTCCCCTTGTGTTCGCATTTATTTTATTTTTTTGTTGTGAAAGGTCAGGTCGAGTGGCAACGGCAGGCGCTGATTGCCTGAAATTTCTCTTCACTACCATCCTTTTGTTGCGATAGTACAATTGTGTTCAAAAAAAGAAAAGCATTAGAAAAAAAAAATTTTTTTTTGTAATCTAGGAACTTTTAGGCGGATTTTGTCTGCTCGTTTCCAGTGAATGAAGATGAGTCGAGGTGTTTTACCAAATAAGATTTGGCGCGTTTATGCTTTTCTTTAGCCGAGTTTTCGTACTGGGAGTTGGGAAGCTTCTTGTGAAAGAATCTTTCTCTAATCAACGAAAAGAGTTGTAAATGTACCTAAATATTTTTTTTTAAAAAGTGGGGAAACAGCTTTCTCAGCGGATTGGCAGAACCATATATTTATTCCCAAAAGTAACGTCTTTGCTTAGTTCTGCAAATTTAAGTTGCAGTTGCATCATTGATTTAGGTCTGTCTGCAATTTTCTGTGGTAAGGAATCAGTGACTCTGATAATAATTTTAAGTAGTTATATTAGAGTATGGGAATCATCAGATCTATGCCATGTTCATTACAACTGGGATTTTGCAAATAGTTTTGTTTTAAGTTAATGCTCTGCCAGTTCTTAAAAGAAATTATAATATATGGAGAGAAAGATTAGGTAAGTTCTAGAATATCTCCATCGAACCTGTAAGCATCGAAACATTACTTTTTTACTTGAAGTTTCAAAATGACCTAAACAAGGGAAATAAATCTTGAAAGCTTATGTGACGTAATTCTGCGATCCATACTCTACAAACTAATGTTTTCTGCCTTTTTTCCCTGAAACTGTCAACACTAGATTAACCGAATTGCGGATTAACCAAACCTTAGCTAATAAATTAACATTAAAATTATTGGGAGACTTAAAGCAGCGAGAATCAGTGCAATATTCATAAACTTACAGAACTAGTTTCAAAATTTTAAATAGAGAACCTTCTTCAGCTGCAGAAGTGCACATGACCTCTCGGCTTTAGGAGATTATAAGAATTCTGTTGTCATTCCTTTCTTTCCAACGATTAGCAATAAAACGGCTCGCATTTTACAGAAATTCAATTTTCGGGGCGTCTTCTCTTCTGTCAATAAAATTCACAGTTCCATACTTAAGGACTCCATTCCGGACATGAACTCCTGGGATGTATACAGGATCCTTTGCCAGTGTGGTTTCAAACTTAGAGAGCCTTGAAATTCGCACGAAAGAACATGAGAATATGTTAGGAAAAGAGAAACACAGAAATCCTCTGTTGGTGAGAAAAATCACATTTCCATTTTTCTGCAACCAAAAGTATTGTTGGCGTATTAGATTTTACAAAGGTGGTTTACATTTATAAAAAAACCCTTCAGTTCTAGTTAACGATCCGGTCCGTCTTTATTTCCAGCTTTTAAGGAAATTGCTACTTTAGCTGTTTTCATTTTTCATCACTACAAGGCGCCAGTAACTTGACTTCCTTCATCGCATCATCTTATCACTTGCTTCTCTGTAGTCATATGTATTTCCCATGTCATTGCATGTCGTTGTCCCCCTCCCCATTATTAGATCGGCTAATCAGGAGTCTACTTTATTTGGTGCTATTTAAAAATAGGCAACAAAAAAATCAAGCTTCAAGTGCAATACATTTGGAATTGACTATATCCATTTCGAGGTGGAGCAAGCGTAAGTACCTTTGCTCAGGAGCCAAGATTTTTGCGCACGTGGAAAAGCAAAAGCCGTATATTTATACGAGAATAAAAACTAAAACTAACGTAGCGCCATCTGTCGAATAGTAATAATAATATGTCATAATAAATAATAATGATATATCAAAATTAAGATGCTTGAAGTTGAAAGAAATTGTCTTTTTTTTATCTAATTTTAAATTCTGAATTTGAGTGTTTCACTTACAGTTAATTAATTGCATTTTTAGGTGTACGAGCAGACGGAAGACGGCAATGGGTATTTGGTCGCTCAGTCCGGGGATGCCACGTGTGATGGACTCTTTACTCCTTTGGAAGGTTCTAGAACCATGCGTCTCATGAAAGGTATTTTTAATTTAGCATCACTCAAAACTTAACTGCACTTGTCTAGTATAGAGATAAAGGTGCTTACGTATTAGCGCAGTAACCTTTGTAAAAGTCACGAAATTTTCAACATGTTCCGAACTTCGTAATAAAATATTTGCAGGAATATGCTATTTTACTGTATACAATGGCTAAAAAAAGCAATTACTTTGAATTTTTTCTTAAAGCTATCTTCACGAAATTTCTACCAGGATAAAAGAAACGAAAATCCGCTTTTAAGTGGGTTTATTAATTGATATTTTAGATTAAACACATAATTTAAATGTAAATTATGTATTTAGCAAATAAATTTTGCAATGAGCAACCAGCATCTTTTGCTCCTGAAAAAAATCGCCAAACTGCGCAGAGCTAATACCTAATTACCGAGGTATTAATTTTCGGCCTTATGGTATTTCGTAATATAACCTGATCCGCCATGACTTTTGTGATTGTAAACTCAGTGTTTTATATCTACTCTTACTTCGTTTTGGCACTGTGAGAAATGTCTTCAGAGTTGATAACTTTGTTTATTGGAATTTTTAATGTGGGTTGTACCTACAAAAGCGATGGATTTAATATGCGCAAAAAAATACTTTATTCTTAGAAAACGGAAAATATTTTTACCTGCTTGCTACAGGTTGATTTAAGAATCTCCTTTTTGATTTGATCTGATAACACTGGCATTTTATCAGTGTCACTTCATTTTGCAGCATCGTTGCAATTGAGTCTACATGGTGTGCTATACGATGGAACAAACAGCGACTTTTGATTGTGAAAATCTATTGCAAGAATGGTGAATATTACACATAGACTGTTATAAAGCTTCGTAAAATCTTTGGACGTGAACTGGTACCTGATGGAACAACATTTTTCAGATTGGTAAAGAAATCTGAAGACACAGGTTTGACCACCACGCTCTCGATTTAGACGGTCTGTTGAAAACATGCCCTCTAATTTGCGTGACAGTATTCAGTATTATTGCAAGCCCCCAAAAATCCGAACTTAGAGAAACAAATAAACACACACACACACACACAAAAAAAAAAAAAAAAAAAAAAAAAAAAAAAAAATGAAGAAACTGAATGTGTCATTAGCCACCTCGACAGGCATGTACATGAAAAATGATTCGCAGGTCATAGAGGACATATGCTGTACATTATTTTCATTCTTAAATCGGAACATTTACCTGCTGTAAGTATGATAAAATATTTTCCATTTTCTGAAAATAAACTGTTTTATTGCATATACTAAATCTGGCGTTTTTTGGGACACCCTATATTTGGGTAAAGATCGAGGCCTTTTTAACTTTGTACGGATTTTTGTGATTATGAAGTGGCTGAAGAGCAGCTCATATTTTAGCTGATGTTCTTTTTAAGTATCTAATTTTCTTTTTCCTTAATGAAATTAAATTTAGTTATTTTTCTAAAATATAAATAAATGCTATGTATATTCTCTTTAGTTTTGCATTATTTACAGTAAACTTTATCAGTTTTCTTTTTAAGATGCAACCATATGTAATTGATTCCCTGACATTCATGCAACCATGCTTGCAACAATTCATGCAAAAGCGGAAATGTTTTTTAAGTTGCAGAAAATTGACCGCACGAATCAGTTGTCGATAAGATGAATTAATTGATATTTTAGATTAAACACATAATTTAAATGTAAATTATGTATATTATGTTATTACCAATTGATTATAGCCAACCTTTTCACGATGTGCTACTGCTTACATAGACTAGCGCATAATATCTTCATTTTTAGGAGGTTTGAGGATATTGTTGTTGACCGTACCTTTTAAATCAGGTAGTTTAGGAACCTGGCCATTGTCAAATTAAAGAAAACAGAAATCAACCCTTTAAGGATTCTGTTAAGCATGTTCCCCATCAGCTCAATTCATACACATATTTTCTAATATCGAAGATACTGAAGGACTGATTATTCGAATACAGCAAACCATAAAATATCTATATCCATAATAATAATAGGGCTATCTGCTTAAGGAGTGGTATATCTTCGTGAAGTATTTTCTGGGAATGGGATAATTAGATTATATGATCCGCCTAAGAGGTGGATTATCTTCATGACAGATTTTTAAGGGAACGTGCCTCTTATTCATATTACATATGGGGTAAACACTAAATCGCCCATCCAACTAACACGCTGAAATTTGAATCGGCGTCAAATTACCAATATCTATTGTTCTTATTCTCTCGGCTATTTGTGGACTGTATACCAATTGTAGGAAAAGCTTAAAATGTAAAGAAATGATATTTCTTAACAAATCCCCGTATCTTGAAATTTTTTTGTCTTTCCTTTTCAGCAGTGAGAAAAAAATGGACAGATCTTTTCCCTTTTTTCTCTCCCCCATCTTTAAGGCATATTATTTTGTTGAAAATATGGTCTAAATGTTTAGAATATCTTCAAAAATGATTTTTTGTATAACGTTTTCCCTTTCACCTTTCAATGTGAAAAAAGAAAGCTAAGGATTGAACTTTGTTCTGTTAGTTAACAGCCTAAAGGATTATAATACAGTTGGATTTACAAAATTAAGAGAATTTTGCTTAAGCCAGTACATTTCACTGGAGTACGAAGATATCTGAAACCCGATTATTGGCAGATTCAAAAATTGGTGGGTCATGGGAATTGACAGACCAACGTAGCAACTTTTAATTTGTACTCCATAAATCTGCGCATATGCTAGTGGCTTGATTCAGTCCACCATGAAGGAAGATTGAAACCCATAAATGGCTAAAAAATTAAACTGATTAGTTAAATATCTCTTCTCTTATATTGATTCATTTGATGAAAACAATATTTTTTAACCGAAGTGATATAATTGATATTTTCTCCAAACTTTCTCGTTTCTTACTTTCTAGCAAACCACCCTCACTCTCGATGCCATTATCCTAGCTGGTTCACAGAGTTCCGGCACTGGAGAGGTTTGGATGGACGCCTTGCCTACGACATAAGCCACAAGAATGGTTCCTACCGAGTATCCAACGCTACTACGGGAGATGTCGTTATGAGGGTCGTGTGCACAGAAGTGACCCACGCTATCTATTCCTCACTCGCACCTCCCAGCACCACCGCACCCTCTGTTGGCGGAGTGTACGCACAGTATGTCGTCCACGTTACGTATGGATGGTAAGTGGACTTAGATATACAATATGCGTAAAGTAACAGACCTACCTAACGTAAATTTTCTAATTATTATATTATACTCTCTCTGTCTCATAATAAAAGTAGCACGTGGATATTTAAACGGGAATTATTCGTGAATGCACCTGTAAGTTATGTTGTAGCGCAAAACTGCGAAGCCTTCAATCAAAATCAATTTTCATGACATCTGTCATTTGTGTTGATACATCTTTCAAATTTAGGTTAGCCTTAATTGTTACGAATTATAATTATTTTTCTAATTTCATCCGCAGATCGAAATCAATTGTTTTACTTCAGCTGAATCTCAATCCATTGTAAAATTAAGAAATAGATTTTTTGAGCAAAAATCAAGTTACGATTGTCCAATTCTTGATACATCAAAAGAAAAATGAAAAGTTGCAGAAAAGTGAGCCGCAATGTAATTTAAGTACAACAGAATAACAGTATGAAGAATTTAGAAACAAGCTTCCAAAAATAATTATCAAGATGAATCGTATGCTAATGTTGATTAATAAGAAAACAAAACTGCGACCGTAAATGCAAAGGTTATGGAGGAAAACATGAAAAACTTAGACATATTTATCTTAGCAGAAGAGCTGCTGTAGAAGCAGTAAACATAGCCTTTGATAATATTTATCAGGAAATATTGGATAATATGTTTCTTTCACTTCAACAAGTTATGCTGGAAGCAATGAAGAACGATGGCTGCAATAATTTTAAACTCACGCGTATAGGAAAAGCAAAGCTTCATAGCCAAAAGATCCTACCTGCAAATTTAAACTGCAGTAACGAAATTATCGAAAATTCCAGAAACTACCTGAACACTCAGAATAAAAATCAGGAGTAATAGTTTTTTAATTTATTGTTTAGTTTAATCTAGTTTTTTGATAATAAATTTTGTGTTCTATATTATTTTCTTTTGCTAATATTATTATGAAATAAATTAAATTCATGAACTGCTACCATTATTATGGGAAAAAAGGGAGTATATATTTTACTTTTATAAGTTAACAGTTATCTACAATAAATCTCATTTTTTCTTCTTATATTATATAAGAAATAAAGAAGAAGCTAACGTCAAAGATGAAGTTGAATACTTCTATGTATTTTTCTTCTAATATGTATCGAATCGAGGGCATGTAGATTAGAGGTGGGCGAAAGCGCTGTTATATATTTCGAAAAGACTCGAACGAGCAGTGGAATTAGAATACTTGATTCATCGAACCGCTTACCCCCTATACTGATTCCAAAATTAAACTTATTAGTAACATGAGAGAATAAACAATATGATGTGCTTCCTATTGAACATCGCCGCCTCTTTTCTTTGACTTGTTTCGTTCATTGCGGACAGTATCTGCCCGAACTGTGCTTTTCTTTAGGCTTCAGAAATATTGGTCCTAGGACTTCTCACCGTACACATAGCTTTCTCTTATTCAAGATCAGCCTTGGTTTAGAGGTGGAGGGGTCAGGTTGTCCGGCTAACTCTGTTTTCGTATATGGTAGACTTTTCATTGCCATGATAATCCAGTCTAAAAAAGGTTTATTTTTTGTTCCGATTAAGGAAAGATGTATTCGATTATCTAATTTTTTTTTCACTTAATTCATGAGGCACTCATATGGAATATTTATAGACTAATCTTAGTTTTCGAATATGGACCGAAATGGTTTGTTGATCTGAGTTAAGCTTTACCGCAATCTCCGATGTTGTTAAAAAAGGATCTTGCTGTATTATGGTCCTTATAATATCGTTATCGTTTAAAGATAGCTTACCCAGACCGTGGCCTTATCATTAAAGTCGAAATCACCTGTTTCAAACTTTTCGAACCCATGTTTTGCACGTTTTATCTGAAACTATGTACATCTCCAACATAAACTGTCTGTAAATTTCGACAGGCTTCTGTCGCATTTCTTCCTTGTTGGAATTCGCACTGAATACTGCTTCGTAAATCAGCTTGATCGGTAGCCATGTTTACATGATCGCATCTCAATATGGCATGAGACCCTTTTGTTTCAATTAATTGTATAAATAAGGAGGTAAATAAAGAGGGACAGCCCCAAAATGTTTCCTCCCATGTTTCAAATGAACACCTGCATGCGTGTTGAAACTTAAAATAACATTATTGGACAGAACTTTCTGATGACATTATATTTTCGGCAGGCTGAACGTTATAATTGAGGAATAGGTTTGATTAATCAATTTGAATAATCTTCTAGAGATTTGTAACAAAAATTAAGTATGTTGTATCAATATAAAGAAAACTTTCTGTTTCTGTATTTGTTATAATCTCACAACTCCTAATCTTCCGTTCCCTTCTACAACAGCAACAGCGGCTACACGTGTCTGAGGATTCACAAAAGAGCGCCACACGTCGTCGAACTCCAGATGAAGAGTAAGTGAATTATTCTTCTTACCCTCTCATTTGTTTTGACGATTTCCATGGCTAGATCCAATTTTAAAATTTAAATTTTTTAAATACAGAGCACCTTTCACCGCTGGCCACCGAAGCATGCATGGGAATCAACTTCGATATGAACCAATCAGAAATCGTAACGCTCACCAGTAAGTACTTAACTCTCATTCTTTATTTCAGATACATTTTTCTGTTTATAGCGGTTTAATACAGCATTTCTCAAAACGTTTTGACTTTTGGCATGGATGTTAAGCGTATAGTCGGTGGACTTCGCTGAAGACATTACATTTGGCATAAACTCTACTGTAGGCACAAGATGGCATTTTTGCGCATTGTCCAGTCGACTGCAAAGTATTATCCGAGGTTACTATACTACAGGATTTGGACATCCTTCACTTGTAAAGCTCCATTTCCATGAGTGCGGTACGAGTGCTTTGCGCAGGTGGCTCTCCAATCAGGGAACGTTGCGGTGTTGTCACTGCCTCGAGCTTCGGAAAAAGAAAGGTTCGACCTTGAAAGAGAATAAATAACCTTACTGTCTATTGACTTTGCGATTATCATTCATTATGGTGGTATATGTAATTTATTGCAGTGTTATGTTATTCATTAAGGTGTTACACCATCGTGTATCACATGTAGCCCGCTGGTTCAGAGAAATGTGCTGCTTTGTATAACATGCCACACAAATATAGGGCGAAATTAAGACTTTTAGAAATTCTATGCCCTTAAAATATTTTTTGGCCCCACATACATTTATGATAAATTTTCACGTATTCATTCTCTTTCGGTCCTGGTTTAGCTTCACCATACATCACATGGAAAAAACCAGCAGTGAACAAACAATATTAATATTTATTGAGCCCCCTTTACTGAGGTGTCTAAGCACTTGTTTGTGTGCCCCCTTTCCGAAGTCCCTAAGCATATTTTTGTGGTTGCTTTTTATCTTGATACCTAAGCAGATGCTTTAAAAAATGTTAACACATAAGACTTAAAAAGTTACATTTGCATGCACTTTTGTCTTTATCAAGTTGTGAATATTAACCGTGTTGTCTACACTGCAAATGTTGCAGCTTCTGTTCACGTACTCATTTTTTCCAGTCGCTTTATATCCATTAGTCTGTTTGTTGCTCTAAAGTTTCGCGGTATAAACCCAAGTGGATGATGTTTAATAATTTATTTCAAAGAAAAACAAAACTTAGTGATGTGTAAACAAACAGAATAAGTTACAGCTAAACAACGAATAACATTATTAAAATTTATCATTTAATAAATCACTGTCGAAAAATAATATAGTAAATGACTGTCACAATAGATTTGAAATTCACAAAGTAAATCAAACATGTTATTCATTTCAGTCGTCAATCATATGTTTGTCAACTTTTTTAGCGACACACTTCAGTAATATGTTTAATAACGTTTGATTGTGCTTAAAGATAAAATCGGGAGACTTCCGGGTTTTCATCACGCCTCCCGATAGATCACTGAATTTGCCGATTTTTAATTTTTAGCCTTTACTAAGGAAAAGATTTTCTCTTCAAATTAGGCAAATTCTATTATCCCCCCCCACACTTCTAATGATATTCTGAATAATTTTTACTAAATTTTATTTTATCTGAACTTTTTTATTACATTTTATTGATCTTTGTCTGTTAAAATTTCATTTGATGTGAGCTGTCTAAATCTGCTGTGGACATTTGTAGATTTTTTATATTGGGTTTCGAGCAATTGTTAATCAATTAATATTATTGTTTTATTTTGCCTTCTTCAATGTATGGTATATATTACTACGTTTATACGCACAATTCTATTTTTTACTTTTTATTCTATTTTTTATTCTACTTTGATTTTTTATTTTTTAATTTTTTATTCTACTTTGATTTTGATTTTAATTTTACATTGCTCGGAGTTGCAATAGCTTTTGACACCTTAATGTGTATTTCAGCGGACACGTCGGGAAAAAGGAACAGAGCAGTGGAGCTCCAAAAAAGGATTTATTCCATAAAAATTTTTTCGGAAACACTAATGTTCTTTTATAAAATTTTTTTTCGCATTAAACAAGAGGTTCAATGGTCTGTTTCGGCGAAACGCGTAATGGTATTTAACCTAGTTCGAAAATCAGTTTTTCCCTTGAAAAGCCAATTGAGAGTACGAGTGGGTTAATTTACCATTTTCCGCTATTTAATTATTGTTTATTGTATTTTGTGTCTTCATTTTAATTTTTAATTTTAATTTTTTAATTTTTTTATGTATAGGCATTTTATAATCTATGTTTTTTGTACTTTCCTTATATATTTTTTTCCGTCGATCTATTTTTCATGTTAGTTAACTTTTCACATCTCACAACGGTCAGATTAATTAATTTTTTTCGTGCATTAGCACACTAAATTTTGGTTGTTTTATCGCGTGTCTACAGTTTTTTCCAGTTTTTCCAGACAAATTTCTTCTTATTTATGTAATACTGTGTTACAATATTTTGTGGAGCTACAGCTCCTGGTAACTTTTTAGCAAGTTCGCTGCAATGTTTCTACCTACTACTATTATTTAAAATCTTTTTGCAGCATTATGAGCAAACGTTTTTGAGACCAGATAGGTCTTACGTCTAATTACCAGTTAGCTTTACATTTTCTTTTTCAATTAATTAAATGATAATATATTTTACATAAGAATTAAATTTCAAATAGTTTAGTGACTTAAATGATGTAATAAAAGTGAATTAAAGACTATTTGGAGTTTCTGTGAAATAGCGCTACGTAGAAACCTCTTGTTTTCTGGGAAAAAAATCTCCCGATTTTTTAGATTTCAATGTTGGCAGCTACGTTCTAAAATTAATGCTTCTCTTTTTTATTTTACACTCAACTTTAGAGTAAGATTATCTTATAAATTTAATGAAACTGAAAATAAAATAATAACGCACTGAACTATTAGCTTCTAAGAAAATTCCTCTTAGCTCGTCCTTCGTGCCCTTTTCCTATTCTTTGATTGATTATTAAATTCTTTTAAGGCCTACTATGTTCAGATTTTTTAGGCCCATAAGCGGCCGAGCAGTAGAGTTTTAAGTTTTTGGTCTTCAGTTATCGAGAACTTTAGTTATGTGGATTGCATTTTTCTTTCTTTAAAGTAGCTGAACTCTGGTAATTCGAATTCCGATAAACGGACTGGCTGCATGACTGGCTTTCGAATTCATCTCCATATATGATGAGCCCGTTTTCCTTTAAAATTCTCCAAAAAAGCATCCCTTTCTATAGGCAGATAGCCCTCGAGTTGCTCTGCCGTATTTATGTAGCCTAACCCGAGCAGATTTCGGTAATATTCGATACTGCAACGGGCATTTTATTTATTATAAATAAAAAACTCAAAATTCTCGAGTCATAGGTGTTTTAAATTATAGCTTTTGTGTAGGAGTGATTGTTTTTACAAATTATCATGTAATCTTAACTTTTAGCTCAATCGTATGGTTCTCTGGAATGTCCCCTTGCGGGAATCTACTCTCTGGAAGGAAATTCTCGCCATCTTTCCCGTCTCATCTCGCTGGAAGCCGAAGAGCATTGGCCTTGCATTGGATCGACGACTTTGACCTCTGGTTGTTCGGCAGTGGACAAGATGGAATTGCTTCAAGAATGTGCTGCAGAGAAAAAGGCTAAATGTAAGTACTCTTTCGTGTTTCCTTAATTTTCTAATGCCTATATATATGTATAATCTTGCCTCTTCTTTAACAATGTATAAGATTCATTAATAGTATTAAAATTAAACAACTTAGACTGCCGTTAATTTTAAAATATATACTCTTACTGCTTCTTTAACAATGTATAAGATTCATTAATACTTTTAAAATTAAATTAAACTGCCGTTAATTTTAAAATATATACTCTTATTGCTTCTTTAACAATGTATAAGATACGTTGATAGTTTTAAAATTAAACAATTTTTATCCTTAACTTTTTGCCGCTAATTTTCAAAAAGCTTAAGGGGACGGTGGACTTTGAAAATTCGTTTTCCAGGTTTTTGTGTTTTTCAACAAGAAATTATATATATATATATATATATATTATAACATCAGTTTATAAAATATATGATCAAAATTTCAATATATTTTAAATTAATTTCAAAACAAATAAGTAATTATTTTAATTAAGAATTTCAAATGTTAGACAAAAGTTTTGTGTATTCATTATTGAATATGATGGATCAGAAATTTTTAAAAAGAATTTTTGTGAACTTAAACCCAGTTTTCCGAAAAATGCCACATTTTTTTTAAAATTAAAAAAAAATTTTTTTAAACTTTTTTTAAACAAGTTTAAACTTCTTAATAACCTCATAGCCAAAAATGCACACTTAGATCTACTGTAACAAATAACAAAATAGTTTCTTCCAAGTATCATGCATTTTTAACTAAAAATGAGACGCATGGAGCATTTTCAAGAGATAGGAACTGCGAAAATTTTTGTTTTGAAAAAACCGAATTTAAAGTTTTTCTTCAAACTTACCTTTAATACATGGTCATGAGAAACAGCAAATTAACTTTAAATGTGAATATGTAGATACTAGATAACATTTTCGTATCATTTAACTATTTTTAATCTCAGAATATTAAATATGAGAAAAATAAACATATCTCAAATTGGTATGTTATTCGAAGTTAGAGCTAGGAACAATTTATGCATTATATTCAATGAAACTTTTAAAACACACTCGCATCATATGTTTATACTTCATTTGTTACATTTATACTATCTTTTAATGCTTTACAATATTTTTTACTATTTCTGTTTTTCCAAGCAGGTAAAATCCTCCTTTTGCTTTGGTTCAAGCGATGGTGCTCACGCTTTTTTGCAACGAGTAGGGTAAACGAGTTTATTTCTTCCTGCTCTACGCGTATAGCATTCACACAACCAAAGTTAAATTGATTGATAGTTGTCAATACTTCATATTTCTAGCCCTTTTATTAGAAATAAACACTTCTTTTGGGCAAATGTATAAATTATTACATCAATGGATAACTGTTGAAATACATTTTTTTAACATTTTCTCCAAAATTTAAAGGACAAAATTTACGTTGTTTACATATTTGAAATGCTTGTAACTTCTTTAAAAAATAGAATACTTGAACTCGGTTTTTTGCATACGATGTAGTTTTGTATATGGAATATTATGAGAGTAAAAAAAACAAATTCAATATTTTGGTTGATTTTTTAGCTATTTTAAAGTCCACCGTCCCCTTAATGCGTTTCAGAGAAAGATATAACGTGGGAATTTGTTAAGAAGCAGAGGTGAAATAATGGATGGCATTACTGTTTTCAACCTTAAATAGAAAATCCTAACTATGACAGTATGCGTAAAATACTACTTATAAAAAAGAGGGATCCTCGTCTGAAGATCTCCGGGATTTTTTAGATATTTTATATAATCTATTCGAATCTACGGTGTAATTTGTTTATTATTTTTGTGGTAATGACCAAAGTAACCGTGCGAATATTGTTTAAATGCAAGAAATACGTGTCAGAGGAAAGAGGTATTGTTAGGAAGCCCTCATTTATAATTCGTAGATTTCAGTTTTAATCGTTAACTCTAGAGTATTGTAATATATACCTACAAATCGAATTAAATTAGATAGATCGGACAAGATCTAATTTTAAACTAGCGGGCTGCGGCCAAAGCAAAATTTATAATTTCTATATATACCTGAAATGAAAATATTTGAAAACATTTCAGTATGAATGGAATTAGTTAATTCTTTCCAAACAACAGCCAAAGTATTTTTTTTTTTTTTTGTTGTTGCCGAACCAGGAAACAAAAATTTTGGACACATCAAGTTAATACGTATATGTATGATGTCATGGTTTAAATTTAATGTAATATAACAACTTTTTCTCAATATTAATAAAAGAATTATTATGGCAATAAGATACCGCGTCAGTTATTCTAAAACAGAAAAATTGCCAACAATAGTTATTTATTTAAAATGCTGACGTTAAGGAAACATTTTCGAACATACAATGACATCACATGCAATAGCGTGCTTTCTCCAACCTCAGAATATGACTCATATAATAAAAATATACAATTTTAATTTAATTTATGTATTTAATGTTTGGGAATAATATTTTTATTTCATATTTCGTAAAACTTAAAAATTTGTTATTAGCAGACTTTACTACTTGAAAGCGAACAGCAACAACCCTTTTCGAAAATAAAGCAGATTTTTATTTCCAGTGCGTTAGACTGTTGCCACTCGGAAAAATTAGTGCAAAAATTAGTGTTTTCAACGGTTTTTAACTAATGTCTCGGTTGATTAATGTCTAAGATGAGGAATGGTCGAAATGGTTTCTCACGAATGTTTGGAATCCGGGGGAATACCTTTCTCAAAACTCAACTCTCTACCGTTCCGGAAGAGATGATTCCACAAACAGACGAACGTGTACATATTTTAATAGTATGGGTAACGTGATTTAACGAAATCGCAATAGTTAGGATTATAAGGTATTTCTCTCGTCTTCTTAGTATGCCTTCATGGTGTAATGGTCAGCACACTTGGCGCGTATTCGAGAGGTCCGAGGTTCGAGTCCCGGCGAGGGCTTTGCTCTTTTTTCACGTCTCTCAGCATCAAAAAATCTTAATGTCTCTACAGGACTACCAGCCGTTTGACGACAGTTTGTAGCAATCATTGACGTTTTATTGCCGGGGCCGCACGCTTACGTACGTACCAATTTTAATTCTAAAAATCGTTCATTGATCTGTAAGTGAATACAGAAATATGTCCATACAGGAACATTCCAATTTCTATAGCATAAATACACGTCTCCGTAGCGGAGTCTTTCAAGCGTTAGAGGTTAACTTAACGGCATGAGCGCAGTTGCGTAACTACCAATTTATTTAAATCGGAGAAGGATTACTGTATACTAAATATATAAAAAATGAACGAATGTCGACGGAAATTAATCAGGAACTGGGTTAGTTCTCAGGCCTGTCAGCACTCAAGTGTCCAAAGGATGCTTGTCTCAAATATTCTCGGAGTGTGTTCCTGATTAATAACGACCTTAAGTAATATTTCTTATGACTAAAACTGTCAACGATTTCAGAATATTTATGTGTAACTTTTTTTCCTCCCATTGTATATTAATCAATATATTGTTCTTGTATGCAATGAGTATGTATTTATCTCCTTCATGTTCTTCAGCTTTTCAGTGTAGGGGTAGCTGGGAGGAGAATGGAACTAGTTACGTCATCGCCACTGCTGTCGGTACGAGGAAACACCTCTGTCTGGTGAGTGGAATGAAAATCGATTTTCTGTTACTCTTAATTGTGCGTATTAACATTCTTTCGTTCACACTTTTTATGTGAGTGACCATATGATTTATTCTTTACGTACCTTTGTTTTTTCTTTTAGCAAGCTTTCTTACAGTTTCATAAATTTTAAAACAAATGTTGTGTTAAAAAGTGCACATCGTGCTATTCTGCGTCTTCCATAATGTACCTAATGGAATTTTTGTGTTATTCGTTTAACATATCATTTCTGTGAATTTTTATCACATTGTATTGCATTCCAAGCTGACGAATGGTTGCTTTTTTATGTACGTATGTGCCAACATAAAAACAGCCAAGAGAGTGATGAGGTTAATTAGAATCTGCTTTAATTTTCTTCTTTTAATGATGTTATATAATTATTAATTGAAATTGATTTTTTATTTAAGTTTTTATAAGATTTATATGTGACTTTATATATTGATTTAATAATAATGATATATTTTTAAAGGTATTTTTTTAATATGATTTTAAATACATACTGATATATTGATTTTTTCTTATATTTATATATTCCATCTCCATTTTGATAAAATGAGTTAAACTTTTTTTAATGTATTATTTTGAATAAATATTATTTAAAAAATACAAATGGTCCATTTGAAATCAGCAAAACTTTTAAAGGTATTTTGAAAAAAATATTACTCTGGGCATCTTAGTCTTTGGTGTACCATTACATTACCTTTCTTGCGAATGTTTCAGTAGCCTTTATCATGAAATTCAGGGCAAAAGGATTGTTGAACGGTAACAAGTCGTGTCATAAAGATTGGGTCAAATATAAAATACGATTCCTTGACTGTGATGAACATCCACCCATTTTTGGGTAAAATGAATTCTTCAAATTTTAAGGCAATTTTCTTACTTTAATTTCTCGATTTATTTATATTTTGAACACCATTCATTTGATATAATGTTTTAAATTTTAAGTTTTAAATCAAGATCTTTCTCAATTCGACGAACAGTTACTTCTTTTACTACCAGTTTTCCAGCGTTTCGACGGGTATAAATGTCTGGCTCCTCGACGAATTTTGATTTAATCATTTTTTTATGATCTATCTCCTTTCAAACTCAGTAAATCATGGTTTAGATATTTGGCTGTTTTTGTAACGTTTAAGCACAGCAGATTTGCTCCTTTTGGTAGCCTAAGCATAAAAACGTGCTACATCATTTTTAATAACTTTCGTAAAAGAAAATGACATTTTGTAAACATTTCTAGAAGGAAACTGACATTATTTTGAAGAAAATGAATAGCTGTGACCATAGCAATTTGAGAATTTTACATGATAGGCTCATGCATAACTAAGGTAATTTGTCTCTTTCTTATCCCGGATGATTTTTGATTAAAGTACACCAATCATGCTTACGTAACATTCGTTTGCTTCAAATTCATGTCTGCAGAATAGCATTCGTGTGGTGCTGCTTCAAAGAGAATCAGATCCAAAACTTTTGATTTATATTGGGAATGAATGGACTCAAATCATAAAGAACTTCTGGTTGCTTTCATCGTATTATATAGCATGTATATATATATATCATATTATATGCTTATAGTAGTTTTATTTCTTCCCCATACTTATGCTGTCGGAACATTACCTAGTTTCGTCATTTGTAATGAAGAAGGTAAAGTAGAGACTTCGCATTACTTATTCTTGAATGTGTAGGAGTTCCCTGAAGGCAGCTGAACGTAATGTTAGATGTTGCCCAAATTCATTGGTTCATACAGCAGAGCTAATTTCATTTGTTTATTCCTTTTGTACTGATTCATGTTTCCTTCATCGGGCAACATCCTGTCAGTAATACGTTTACTTATGATATAAAAATGGAAATTGTTCATTCAAAATTCATTATGTATTTAGACCGGAAAGACCGGAAGACCAATCTTTAGATTCAAAGATAGACCGGAAGACCTATCTTTGATTTTTCTGTGAGGCATGGATGCATATTTTACTGCATTTACTACGACTGTTTTTCTAAAGGTGTAGCCGGTATGTTGGCCTTTTTTGCATATGTGTTTATTTTGTTAAAATGCAACATTTACAGGCGGACATACGTATGCTTTATTCTTGAAAGTGGACAAACGGATATCATGCTAATCGGAGTAGTCTCTTGTACACGAAATGTATGTATTAATACGTACATTTCGTGTATATATGTACATTTCGTGTATATATGTATATATATATATATATATAATATATATATTGTGTGTGTGTGTGTATGTGTGTACGTGTATTGCCAATGCATGTTTATTATGTTGTTTAAAAAACCGGATAAGGAAAACTAAGGTCCTCTGAATTAGGGACGTAAGATCCCAGACCGTTGTTTAGCTATAGCTATAACTTGTTTAACTTCGAATGATTGGCTTAATATTTTTCTGTTTTATATTAAACTTGAAATTCTCTGGTTTGTTCTTTTCGCAAATCTGATCAAACCGTGGGCAGAGAACGTTTAAGGTTCTGAATTTAATACCTTTCTCAAAATCTGTAATCCAGAAGTTCTGAGAGATAAGGCAGCTAATGGCTTTGCCAAAAATCCAACTATTTCTAAAAATTAAATACATCTATTAGTAATTACGAAGTTAGGTTAATAATGCAAACAAATACTGGATATCTAATATTAAGTACTATCAAAAGCTTGCAAAGTATTTTGCATTTGATTTGATTATATTTGGGTTGATTTCAATTTTATATGACTTTCGATTTTCAGGCGTACACTGAGAGCGACCGAATCCTCCACTTTTCTGGAAGCAGTGAGGCTTGCCTGAGGAATATACAAGTGGGTCGCGAAGGCCCTATTGCCATCAATGGAACGAGTAAAGGTAAATGAGATTTCATAATTACCTGTGACTCAAGTTGATTTCATTTTTACTAACATTCAGGTAATATCTAATAGTCCACGAAATTATATTAAATATAGAAAGTGTATCTATTAGGGAAGGAGGAATGATCTTATTTTGAATTTTCAAATGAAAGCTAGTATACTAATATATGAAATTCTTAAAAATATTTTTATTGGTTAAGGAGATAATGATGTGTAAAGCTGATGCAAATGGATTAAGAACAGCCTGTTTATGTTTCTAGTGGCCAAGCAGAACACTATAGTATGTCACATTAAAATAAGAACTTCAAAGCCGTTCGTAGAGTATGTAATAACTTGTGTCGTTGTTACCGCACAGAATTTGTTTCTTCCATGTCATATTAGATTTGTAGTTCAAGTCAGCCTACATTCGCGTGCTTTTTATGAAGCGAAACACGCTAACCGGAAATGATGCAGAGTTAAGGAATAATGCGACTCTACAATTCTTTTCTGAAGCTGTTGCTTTCATCGTTACAAGTCAAGTCTGGCAGTGGATATAACCTTAAAACTTTTTTTATAAAGTAGCACCTTGTAGTTCTTTTAAAGTAGCCGACTGTAATATTCAGAAGCATATTGCAATCATCGTTTTGAGTGCTAGAAAGAGTTTCAATAGAATTATTCCGATCTATCCAATAGTTCAGATGAGATACCTTCATGATGAATTTATGATTGCAATAGCTGTGATTTTTGTTTGATTAATTTTAATATTCATACATTCGTCGCTAAAGATCGTCTTAGGTAAGAAATTCTCTTGTGCTGAAGAAAATCTTAAGCAAGAGATTCGTGCTTATTTACTATTAAACCTCATTTTTCAAAGTCATTTGTTTGGAACTATTTTATGCTTTCTCAAGTTGAATAAGTCTCTTACATGCAATAATTGTATTAAAATATTTTGGCTATGAGGATATCTCTAAGGGTATTGACGCATATTGTGTCAAAGGCAGCCATTACATGCTATTAACAGTCCATTAACGGTAGCCAACTTAGTAGAAATTATTACACTATTAATTGCATCACCTTTTGTTAGAGAAAACAGTAGTTTTAATTTATATATCATATGTTCCTTTCTCTTTTCGAATTTCGAGCAACTATTTCGAATTTCGAGAACTGGTTAACAATTTTTATGAATTTTAAGTTATGTAAATCCTTTATTGAAACATCTTTCCGCGTACTGAAGACTGGCTGTTCAATTTAAAACCTTTTCTTATTTTAGAATGTGATGTAAAAAGAAAAGAGTGAAATAATAAAAATGCAATTGTTTTCTCATGTGCGGTGTGTTTCTAAAAAGTTTACAGAACTAATTGAACTCATAGTTCCAACCAACGGTCATAGACGCCTAGTTCCAACGTACATTATGAATCTAATTATTTTTTTGGACTGTGTTCATTCTGTTCAAGTAACTCTTTCTGATAAAAATATGCATTTTTTTTCGTGTTGGACATTTTCGAAGCAAATTCCGAATTCTGGAAGTTAGCAACAATTAGGTCCGGCTGCCGACTTCTTGTCTCCCGCTGTAAATTCCTCAAATCCAAATAATTGCTGCTAACCCTAACAATAACATACAAATTGAAATTTTGACAAAAGTATTAGCCATTATCTGTAAAACGTTATCTGTAGCTATCCACGCTTTTATTATTTGTGATATAAAACTTAGATCAGTCAATTTTGTATAGAGAATATATTTAATTCTTGTTTCCATGAAATTATATGATCAATTTTTCTTCTTCATTAAATTCAGGAATACAAGGCTGTAATAATTTTAAATACAAGCTTATTTTATAAAAATATTTTGTCACTATACTTAATTTCAAGCAAGGCCTGATTACTCTGTTGGAAGTTGTTCGTGGATTTTAAGGGCAATAATTCGCTAAAAAATTGAATGTTAACTTTAAGTTAATTTCACACCACTGAGTGAAGACCTTTGTTTAAATTCGTATGATCTTCTTGTGTAAACATTTATGTAAAATTTAGCTATGTTAAAATAAATTATCCATTTTAAACCTTTCCTGGTTTTTATTAGTTATGCATTCTAAACCTTTATCTTAAATTATGCATTTTAAACCTTTTCTATGTTTTAAAAATTTTCTCTCTCCAGGGTTTTGTCCGACAACAAATGCCGCTCCTCACACTACACCTTACAGCGACGTCCTACTCTGCCTACTCATCGCAATTGGAGTGTTATTCAGCTTTCGGTGATGTCTCGGAAAATTTATTTTCACATCTGTACAATCGAATTTCAAGCGCAGGAACCGGATTCACAGACTGTTTATAAAATCTGAATTATCCACGTTGTGGCTCGTCGAACCTGAAACTCTCTTGTTCTCGACGAGAAAAATCCAATTTTTTGCTCAGAAATGAAAAAAAAAAGAAGCCTTCGAAATAAACAATTTGTGGACAGTTTTTTGTATGCAAAGTCCTGCTGTCTCAATTATTGTTATATAATTACTATTATGATATATAAGGGAATTTTCTCTGTTGTTTATTATGGAAGTGAAGTTGTTATATGAAGCCTTTGCATCATATCGCAAAATAAAATTTGTGTGTGTGTGTGTTGAAGGTGTGGAGGAATTCCTGTCAGAAAACTGCCTCTCCCTTTGACGTTTTATGGACTTCTTTTTTAAATTGCACTGACGTGTTTCTATGTTGCCTGTAATGTGACAGTCCAAAAGAAATCTAGATCGGTCAAGTAAAACAAAAAGTTTAAGGGGATAGGTAAAGGATTTGAGTTCATTACATCAACACATATTTTTGCCATTGTATTAGTTATTTTGACCATAAGATTTGAAGTGATATTAAAAAATGGATTACTGTTAAATGTTATATTTATGAATATTTTAATTGGATTTTACATTAAACATAAATCGCCTTTTTAGGAGATAGAATAATTTAGACATCAAAATATTATATCATGAATTACAGAGTAGTTTCAAAAATAAAGTTTTCTAATGAAATGATGAATGGTATGCCTTTTATGCATAAATTTGAAAAAAATACCTATCAGAATTTCCTATTTAAAATTGCATTCAAATTTTAAAGTACATAAAAATTATTCTTATTTTCAAAGAAAACTTAAGTACACTTTTCAATCGAGACAATATATACAGGAAAAATAACTTGAGGCCTTTGTTTAATTTGAAGTGTTAAATGTAAGAATTAATTTATGAGCAGTTCACTCTTTCTGAAGAGGCAGCATAATGTAAAAAGTTGTAAATTTCTAATGCAAAAATTTTGTAGTTCTTCATATTAAAAAATTTAATATATTTCATTAAAATTCAGAAGGTGGCTTTTTTTGATTAATTGTGTTATTTCCCTATTGCATTCCTATTGTTCTGCAGCTAGATTTATTATTTTAAAATAATATTTCAAATAAAACTTCAACTATATAAAATAATACTGATTTCTCTTTCTGGCATATTTATTTAATTCTTATACTATATAAATTAAGAAACCCTGATTGAAATTATTTTTTGTTAGGAATTTGGTTCTTTTTAAAGAAAGAAAATATTTAAACACTAAATTATTATTTTTATTAAGATAATTCTCAAATCATTGAGAACCGATTTCATTTAATGGAATTATATTTGTTATGAATTTAGGCTTTGTAAAAAATTAATATAAACATAATAATGTTAAAATTTATAAATTTTTAATAACACATTGCTCAATCTAATGTTGATGCATAACAAATTCTTAAAACCTATTTTGATACTTTGTCCAGATGCACTTTTATCCTTTTTCTGAATTAAACTCAAACTCCTTAAGATATTTTAATTTTGGTGCAGTATGTGGTTCTTTATATGTTTTAGAGATTTAGCTAAAAGTCTTTAGAATAAGAATTATGTTTTCATTCACTGTTTTAGTTTAAGAAGATTACATAAATGAAATATTTGAAAGAATTTTGTAAGAATTTGAATTGACTTTTCAGCTTCACTGAGTATATTCTGTTAATTAGTTATGAAAATACAGTTTTGTAGTATTTTTGAGAGTTTTGAATGAATAAGTTATTCCATACTTTAAAAAGGAATTTGCCTGTTTTGTAGTTTAATGTATTAATTGTGTTATATATATAGTATTTGATATTTTTGATTACAAATGGCAAAGGAGTTTTCAAATATAGTAATTAATCTCTTACTTCTTTTGTAGATTTAAAATATACTATTTGTAAATAGAATGTTTCTACATTATAAACCTATTCCTACATGAGTTGTAAAAAATGAATGAATTAATATTTGTTTCCATTCCGCATGTTTGTAAAAAATGCTGTCTTCGTTCTGTTCCATAAAATTCTTTTATTTTTTGAAATAATGAATTTAGAAACTTCGAATTTCATCTGAATGTCTTTGTATGTTAAACTAGGTGCTGTAAGAAAAGTTTATGGTAAAGTGTTTCGGCTTAAAAAAGAGATAAACTTGAATAAAACATGTAGTTGCTTCAAATATAATTTTTAAAAAAATAAAATAAATGAAGAAGTTTTCTGTTTTTGCTTGTGTTCTGATGTTACAGTTAAAATACGATTGATAACTATTTAAAAACATTTTACCATAAACCTTTCTATGTACAGTACTGTTAAACAAATAACAAACAAGCCTCTAGGTAAAGGGGAGTCGGTACCCAAAACGAAATGTTTACTGAAAGATAATATAGAAGTGTCTTATTTACAAGGAAGAGTTCAGAATTTGTTTCTTTTACCACGACCATTTCTCAACCGAGAGATTTAGATGTAATATAGAAATATACTGTATGTAATTCCCCAGCAGAAACGTTAGCTTATTTTCTCTATATAAAGCGAACGAAGTTTTAAAAAATAATTTTTATTGTTTTAACAATTTTTGCCAACTGTGTAATTCGACTGAACAAAAGTTAGCTGAAATTCTTCCATAGAAAGTAAATTATTTTTTTAAAAAATCAGATTCAATATATCGTATAATTTATACCATTTGTAATTCGACAGACCAAAGGCTAGCTGAAATATTTCTATAGAAGGTAAATTAAATTACTAAAACATCAAATTTTGTACTTTTTGTAATTTATCGCGATTGTAATTCGACAGAACGAGGCTAGCTAAAATATTTCCATAAGACATAAATTGATTTTTAAAGCATCAATTTCTATTCTTATAATTTATATCGATTGTAATTCGATAAAACTAAGTTTAGTTAAAAGTTTTGCGTAGAATGTAAATTAAAATTTTAAAACATCAACTTCAGTATTTCTTATAATATATACCGGTTGTTTTTCGACAGAACAAAGTCTAGCTGAAATATTTCTATGGTAGGTAAATTTTTAAAACATCAAATTCTGTACTTTTTATAATTTATGTCAAGTGTAATTCAAAAGAACAAAGGCTAGCTGAAATATTTCCAAGGAACGTAAATTAATTTTTAAACATGCAATTCTATACTTCGTATAATTTATACCAATTATAGTTCGACAGATAAATCATCTGAAATTTTTTTGCGTAGAAAATAAATGAATTTTCAATGTATCAAATCCTACTTTTTAATAATATGTCATCATCCCCCTCAAAAAAAGAGTTAAAGGATTTTAAATTAAAATTCTGTCCTAATTCCATACTATCCAAGTCTATACTTTTTTTAGGAAAATTAAATCCATGTTCTTATATATTTCCATATAATTAAGAAATTTAACTGGACACTTGAGTAAATGTGGAAAAGTCCTTTTAAATTTTGGGTACCGAATCTCTGTATTATTTTACTCCTACATCTTATTATCTGATGTGCATATGTGTGTAAAATATTAAAAGAAAACAACAAATTATCGTGCAACGTTATCTAGTTGCCGAAACAGTTTCGTATCAATTGGTGCCTTGAACTTGCCTGACTGTCTTGTCTGTCTGTCCGTCTCAGGCTGTATTTTTCTCCTTAAATATAAAAATATATTCTCTGTTTTCTCGCGTACTTTACTGAACGCACGAATTGTGATAGAGGTCTCTGGCCTGACCAGGGGGGTTGGTGAGAATTCTCTTACGTATGTAAGCCCTCCCGAGGTCTTTCTCTTTCTCGCTAGAGATGAAGAATATAATAAATAAGCGTAGCAAAACAAAAAGTGTATTCTTTCTTTCCATGTACTGTATTAATATTTTACACAGTTGAGAAAAGTTTTATTCTTTCTCAGTGTTTAATGAAAAACAATTAAGACTTCTTAAATTTACATTACTAAGAGTATAATATATTTATTACTGTGAACCACTTTGCACGTTTAAATTTATATGAAGTAGTTTTTTAATTAACACGTTATTAGTACACAGGGTTCTGTAGTCTGGAAATGGGATTTTTCGTTGGTTCACTATAAACGACGCTCCACTTTTCAAATTATTGCAACCAAATGCTAGCGCCAAGTTTGTTTGTTTTTGCTAGAACGCCCCAACCCGCCTGATCACAAAGTGATCTTATGGTCCAAAAAGGGGGCGTCCCATTCACACCACATTCCGAGTAACTAAAAATGTTAGTTTAATCAACTAAAGAAAACAATAATTATACATCCAGCAAGGTTGCCATACGACTATATAATTTTATTTACTTATTTTTTGTTATTTATTTATTATTATTTATTTATTTTTAATGGCTGGATCAACGACACAACAGGAAAGAAGAAAACCAAAAATAACTAAATCGAGAAAACTGTATTAGTAAAAATGAAAGCATAAAATAAGGAAGGAAAACACACAACGAAAATATGACATACAGTCACACATATCATCAAAACACGACGAAAAAGACATCCTAAAATAAACACATTGAAAATAAAATGAACTTAGTTAAAAACCACAATCGCATGTCTATTGCCATTAATAAAGGCCATCAATCTCTTGCATATAATTTCAAATGTTTAAAATCAAAATTCAATAAATTAAAATGTATATCACAAAAACTTCGTCTAATAAAATCAGTCAATTGGCAGTCCACCACGAAGTGTTTGGCATCACCCAAAACATTACAATTTGGACATAGATCATTATCTTGTACATGAAATCTTTTTAAATAATGAGGAAACCTACCATGTTCGGTGATAACCTGATTCATATCAATGCCATCATAGATTAAAACTTTATTTGTAATTTCAATATTAATCAACAAATTATTTTTCCTTGTTGAACTTTTCCACACATCTTTCCATATATTTATATAATTTCTTCATACTCGTAATGGCAATTTGTCTAGAACCAAAAATTTCCACAAGGGTGCATTAGTTGAAATACATGCCTCTTGGCCAGACTGTCAGCCCTCTCATTACCAAAAATCCCACATGGGCTTTAATCCAATGAAAAGAAATCGTAGAACTGATAGATTGCAACAGAAATTTAATATCCATAATAATACAGTTAACACATTGTCGGGGCAAGAGAGCGACTGGAGCAAAGAAAGACAATCAGTATACAAATTTATAGTAACACATGTTTTAATATTCATTTTAATCCATTTCAAGGCCTTCAAAACAGCAATACATTCCGCTTGAAATACTGAATTATAAGAATTCAATCTATATAAACCATAATCAATTTCAACATCATAGAAATATACAACAAAAGCAGCTCCAGTACACCCTCCTAACCCCGATCCATCCGTATAAATATCATATATTCCAATTTTTGGAATTTCTCTATCAAACCCATAACTGATTCTATTTACAGGGTGTAATAAATGTACATTAAATTTTTCAAAAACATACAGTGGATGGACAAAAATATGGAAACACCTTGTGAAATGCATGTTTGAAAAGAAAGATTGATTTTAAAGAAATATTTAGGTGGCACTGGCGTTTTTGACTACTGACGCCACCTATACAACTTCGTAAATGTGCTAAACAATTCAGTTGTGGTCGGAGTACTGTTATGTGAGGTTGTCATTGCATTATGTCAGAGTTAACAGACTTCGAAGGTGGGAAAATTGTTGCAGCACGTATGGTAGGTGCTTCTGTAAGCGAGGTGTGTAGTGTTTCAAGAGGTACTGTATCGAAGATTTATTCCGCATATTTGAAAAGCGGAAAACATCATCTGCTAAATCACAGCGCGGACGAAAGTGTGTCCTGAGTGATCGTGACAGACGATCATTAAGGGCAATTGTGACGAAAAATAAGAAGACCACAGCTGCAAAAGTTACTGCTGAAATGAATGTTGTGTTACCGAACCCTGTGAGTACCAAAACAATTAGAAGGGAGCTTCATAAACAGGGAATTGCTGGCCGTGCTGCTGCAATTGAGAAGCCACTCATCAGTGATGCTAATGCCCGTAACAGGAAAAGGGTGGTGTTTAAGTCATAAAGCCTGGACTATAGAGCAGTGGAAGCGAGTAATATGGTCTGACGAGTCTTCTTTCACATTGTTTCCCACTTCTGGCCGAGTTTACGTCTGGAGAACGCCATCTCAAGCCTATAATACAGACTGCTTGTTGCCAAGAGTCAAACATGGCGGGGGTTCTGTTATGGTTTGAGCAGCCATATCGTGGTTCTCTGCTAGCCCCATGATAACTGTGTCAGGGCACATGACTGCCAAGACTTATGAAAACATTTTGGCCGATCAAGTTTATCCCATGGTACAAACTTTGTTCCCCGATGGTAATGGTGTCTTCCAAGACGACAAAGCCCCTGTTCACACAGCGCACATTGTCCAGGACTGGTTTTCTGAGCACGAGGATGAGTTGTCCTATCTCCCCTGGCCACCACAGTCACCAGACCTGAATATTATCGAACCTTTGTGGTCTACATTGAAACGGAAAGTGCGTTCTCGTTATCCACCGCCAACATCGTTATCTGAACTTGCCACCGTTTTGCGGGAAGAATGGTATAATATTCCCTTGGCAAACATACAGGAACTGTATTTATCCATTCCGAGAAGACTGCAAGCTGTTTTGGATGCCAACGGGTTTCCTACACCATATTAAGCAAGGAAACATGTTTTTTTAAAGGTGTTTCCATATTTTTGTCCAACCCCTGTATTTAGTAATAATATTAGAATCAAAACAAATCATATCAATATTTCCAGAACGTAAAAGATATTTCTTGTAAAAAAATTCGTAATAAACTGAGAGGGAAGGCAGTCCGGCCAATACACAAACCACCTCCGTGGGGACTGTCCTAAAACAGCGAGTAATTGCAAGACCCCAAGCTCTCTGTATAGAATCCAATTTCATCCGGAGCCTTACCAGCTCCCCCGCTCTGGAACCCCAGGCGCCAATTCCAAACATCACAATAGGTAATACAACGGCTTTATATAGAACCAATAGTATACCAGATTTCGTAGCAAAAATATCGCCCGCAAAGTTCCTTCTGTAGGCAAGTAAAAGCTGATCTGTTCTTCGCTGCACGTTCTTAAAGTGTTCAACAAAAGTGAGCTTACAGTCCAACACAACACCTAAATATTTCATATTTTCTGTAAATCTAATTCTCCTATTATGATACCGAATTCGAGGAGGTCTCACCACACGTCCTACCCTCGGGAAAAACATAGCTTGTGTCTTATCCATATTAAAATTCAATTTTTCCCCATTACTCCAATTATCAAAAATTGCACAGGTCTCATCAAACAATTTTTCCAGTTTTTCAAGTGAGTGCCCCCTAAACAATGCTACGACGTCATCAGCATAAGCAACAAGTTCCACATTGCCAGAAAATTCACATTGAAGCAATTTATTCATAATCACGTTCCAGAACAGAGGAGCGCTGCGGGCAGCCTTTACCAATTGTAAAAGTGGACCCATATTTACTTTCCGAAAAGCAATTAAAATACACTCTTCTACTCTTAAAATAATCCAAAATCAAATAAAAAATATTTCTGGGTATATACAAATCTTGAAGAGTCCCCAATAAAGAGACCCAATCCACGTTATCAAATGCAGAAGCGATGTCAAAAGAGACAAGAAGAACGTGCTGGTTAACCCTATGTTCTCTAATATATGAGAGAACTCGAAAAAGAGCATCATCGGTACTTCGACCAGGAACAAAACCATATTGACTATCATGGAAAGGATTATATTTAAAAATATAATGCATCATCCTATTAGTTATCAATTTATCAAGAACCTTTCCAAATATCTTTAATAAAGCAATTGGCCTTGATTTTCCTTCGGTCTTAGGAATCAATATGATTTTACTTATCTTCCATGTGCCTGGAAATATGGCATATTTTAAACATGCATTATACAAAAGTATTAAAAAATCAGGATATAAATCAAATAAAGTCTTAACAATCACAGAATGAATGCCGTCAATTCCAGGTGCAGCTTTGTCTTCTAAGACGTCGAATCACTCCAGCAATTTCATCACGAGTAAAACAAGAATCATCATCTTTTAACTTGGAATCATCAATATTCGAAATATCAAACAAAAAATCATCAATCTAAATCAAAATAAACTTTAGCATGAGCTTTATTCACTTCTTCAAAATTTCCAGCAACGCCCTCCGGTCTCCTTGACAATAACTTTATGTCTACTCTTTCCAGCTGCAGTCTTATAGAAGAAACCATCAAAATGATTCACACAATCCAGAAAATATTTAATCTTACTATTCTTTCTTGCTTCTCTAATAGAACGTTTATAAATAGCTAGTTCTTTCTTATATCTAATTTTCCTTCTTAATCTAGTAGCATCATCAATATTCTTTACCTGAAAACTTTTACTAAAAGCCCGTATTCTTCTCTTCTATCTTTCAAGACCAACGTTCCACGAAATAATTTATTTACCAACTTTCTTTTAACCCTTAATTTAGTAACAATCTTCTTCACCAAACAAGTCTTCAATTTCAGAGGCTATACAATCAATTTCTTCGTAACACCCAGCATTTCTTATTTTCTGAATAAAATCCTCAATGACAACATTTACTTTTTTACACAATTTGTAAACTTTAGGAACACTTCTACTTATAAAGTTTCCGCTCCCATGCTGGAGACAAACACCTTCCATGTCAAAGAGAATATATCTGTGGTCGCTGAGAGATTCTTCTTGACAAACCCCATACTTATAATCATTAATATCCAATGATCAAGGTCGGTCCAACACTGTCCAACTGAAGATGAAAAAGTTGGGGTAAGATCTTGAATATTAAAAAGCACC